AGTCAGGTTTTCTCTACTTTCTGTACCAAATACAACTGACTAAAGACTGTGGTGAAAAGGTTTGAATGTTGATGAATTGAGTCTCTGTAACACATCTGTTTCTGTAAAAAAGATTAATCTCTCTCAATAAGATTATTTGTTCAAATAAAATAAGCAAATAAAATGCACTATAGACTATTCAAACAACTTAGTAATGATATAACTGTAGGTTACAAATCAACAAAAAGAGCAAACAAAATTTGTTTGAAAATCAAGATGAATTCAGACAAACGTCAAAATTAAACTCATACCTTCAAAGTCTTCTATCTTTTTCTTCAGCTCCAATTCCAGCTAAAGTGAAAAAACAAAAAACAATAATATATCAAAATATTTAGCTGATTCTGAACAGCAATAAAGGTTAAGAAACTAATAGTATACCTTCATAAAGAGAGTTTGGAAACAAGTCTTTTGCATTAGGGTAAATATTTTTAAGTTTGCTCATTTTAAGTCCAATTCACCCAAAGTTAATCACATAACCACATCCCCTGACAAATCCTGAAAAAATTCCAACAAAAGTGATCCATCCCAAAAGACCGCGAGGGGCAGGACTAAGTGTGGGAATGAGAGGTGGACGTTTAATGTAGGTAGGAGTGGGGGCCTATGGTGGCTATGATGATGAACCTTTGATGGTTCAAAATAAGACAACTGTTTGAGCTAAGAAATCTGTAAACAAGAAAATGTAAAAAATAAAATAAAAAAATAAAATGCACAGTAACATTAAAATAGCACCAAATGCTCACAGTTTAGCAGGGAAATGTTGAAAGACACATTATAAAAGCACAAAAAATGTGGCTTTTAATAATGTAATTCCTTAATATATCAGATATCTGATGTTTTAATTTATTTCAACATTCTCTAAAAGTAGGCAGTGAAAATAGGGTGTGTGAGTAAATCAAAAAACTGAACTAATGTGTCACTGTGTGATTATTTACTTGAGTAACATTTTGACAAAATTTCTTTTAGAGTAGTTTTACAGCCTTGTACTTTTTACTTTTACTTGAGTAAAAATATAAAGTATCAACAAAAAAATAAACTGGCTAGTGGCTACTCCATCCATTTAATGAAAACAAGCTTGTTTTAAACAGATACTTTCTTCTTTTTTGTTCTCAGAGCTTATTGGTTAGTCTGCCGTGTCATTTACTGGTTGAGAAAAATACAATAAACAGTATACTGTAGTTAAACCTATTATTAGGGCTGGGTAAAAAAATCGATTTAATCGATTTTGAATCGATTCCTTTACAATTTTGCAAAATCGATGTCTAGGGAATGAGATCAATTACTTTTATAGTGATGCGTGTGACGTTAACGCTCAAATGAGCAGGAAAGATGCACTCAAGATCACTTCAAGCCAGACAGCTGCAAATATAGCCAATAGGTTGACTGAAGACATTAACAAAAGGGGGCTGACCAGCAAACACCCTGTAGTTGTTACAGACAACGCTGCAAATATGGTTTGTGCAGTGGAGATAATGCAGCTCAAGCATTTTCTGCTGTGTCCCCGCTGTGTCACGTCTGCTTGCTCGAGAGAGGCTTCACTTTTTCACTTTTCACAAACAAGTTTGCACATATGAGACAATTTTGTTCACATCTCAAGTTTAAACTGTCTGATTTACAATTTTGCACTTTGTGTTTAAGGTGACAGGAAAAAATAAAATACATGAGTAATTTGAAACAGTTGAACCACTGTCATTATTGTAAAACAGATCGAATCGAAATTAATCGATTTAGAACTGTATGAATCAAAATCGAATTGATTCAGGACTTTGGCGAAAATATCCAGCCCTAGTTATTATACAAACTAAAACTATTGCTTTTGTATGTTTTATAACTAAAAAAAATATCAAATCAGTTCTTATGATCAGATGTAGTCAGATCAGTTACTCATGCCTTTTTACCAAAGACTTTTTACTATTAACTGGAGTAAAAATATGATGAAGTAGTGCTACGTTTACTTAAGTACAATTTCTTGGGTACCCTACCCACCTCTGATTATTAGTCTTTGACTTTGAATTGATGATCTGTTATACAAACTTACAGCTTCCACATCCAACGATCAGTTTCCATTAATCTGAAGCAGGTCAAATCAGAGTTTTACCGTTAACATATTTATGTTTATGTAGAAAGAGATGGAGAAGGTGATGAAGGAATGGCAGACATGGTCTGGAGATGTACACCATCTACATATGTTTGTGTAATAAAAGGAGATTTTACAGAAGGTTGAGTCATGTTGTTGGACAGCAAACTCATATTAAGCATATGTGACATCATATGTTGCAGCCCTTGCCTCCATCAGTAGTTTTTATTTAATGGTTTTGGATCAAATTATTTTCATTTTTTACTCTAGTTTTATTTTTACTGCAACCACATCATTTACAGCTCTTGTGATTTAGTCCCCACTGCTTTGCTTTTACGGGTCCTTTAATTTTGCTGCTCAGCTCTCAGTCAGCAGAACTAAGATCTGATAGTCTCTCTTCTTCGCCTTCAAAGCCATGAATTAACGCCTTTTGACACCATGTAAAGTCTTAGCCTAATTAGGCACTACTGGGCATAATTTTGCAATTTAGCATTTCTCCGGAATGCAAACTTTTATGCACAGGTGGACTGCATCACTGTTGTTTTTGACAGCCATCTCAGATTTAATCTTAGTGTTCGTCTTCAGGATGAAAATTATTAGTTTTAGTCACATTTTAGACGACTAAAACTTAACAAGTCTAGTTTTAGTCAGTTTTATGTTGCAATTCATAAAACAGCTAATCTTTACAAATTTGAGTAAAAACCAGATTCCTTATCAGACTCACTAGATAATACCAATGCTGGAGACACAAAGCTGCCATGAAGTTCATCACTTCTGTTGGATGGAAACCTTTGATTTATAAAATTGAAATAATTTTTTTTATAAATTAATGCCCTACTTTATTCAAAAGTATCTCACAAAAGATGTGACAATTGCAGATCTAGTTCAACATGTCACATTGGTTATAATGGCAGACATACAAGATAACAGAATTTACAATAATAAAAGATGGTTTTTAGACAGACAAGGTTTCCATCGCCAAGAAAATACTTCCTGATCTGCTAGGAATTATGCATTACACACAGATTGATCAGTCTTAATTTCTCCAAAATTGTGGCTTTATTTCTAAGAATTTGCCCCTTGGTTACTGCTACTCAGCGGTCAAAGTAGATTTTTATTAAGGTCTGATGTTAAAAAAAAAAAAGATACAGAAAACGTCTGAATTAAAATATCTGACCAACCAACCAATAATGTTTTCATCCTGTCAACGAAAACTCACAGCCATGACTCGTCATGCTTTCGTCATCTAAGATCCATGTTTCGCTCGTTCGCTCTCATTATTGTTGTGGAGAAAAAGAACCGTCAATAAATTATTTTGTCATCGATCAAAACACTGGACCGCATCAGGTTTACGAGAATCATTTACTGAAGTAAGAATGTTTGTTGTATCTAATGTGGCGAGTCTTTTGTGTGAAAGAACAGAGTACCTGTTGTGATTTTTTCTTCTTCAGCCCAGCTGTAAAGCAAGGTGGGTCACACTCTTGGTCTAGATCGACCTTCATAAACTCCTCAATGGTCAGCTGACTTGTTGGCGTGTCCTCAAATTCTGTCAGTCTAATTTGGAGATAAAGAGGGCATCAAGTTATAAAAAAGCTTAATGGCTCACCAAGACTGTATGCAGTTTAATAAAGGGAGGCATCCTCTATGTTGACAAATTTTATAAAGTTATAAGTATTTCTAAAATGAGGATGATGGTGTTAAAAATTTGGCTTAAAGGTATAGTGGAGGATTTTCATGAATTTTTGAAAAGACCCGCCCTCTCCACTGCATATGCACAACCCTGTACCTGCACCCGAGAGGAAAAGCCTATTAAACATGTGCCAGAGCATGCACAAGCCCATGTGCCAGAGAATACACAAGCCCATTCTCCTTGTGCACGCTATGTTTCAAAGTTGCTGCTTGCATCGCTCCTACTAGCTTACTATCCAAAAGAAAATTAGCAATTTTCTACAATGTCAGACTCAACACTGGTAGGTGAAAATGGGGATGAGCACGTAGGACGGCCTTACATAAACCTATCACCCGAATGATTGACCGTTAGCAGGAACACTTATTTTGATGAGCCACCCCAAACATCGACATCCTCCACTACACCTTTAATAAAAGACTTCTTAACGTACCTCTTCCTTAGTGTCGTCTCACAGACTTTCACTACATTGACTATTTCTTTGATGGTGCGACAAAAGTCGTGCAAACGAGCAGCAACAAGAAGAGCTGGAAGAAGCAAAAAGTAGTTTTTAACCAGAGGGTGTCAATTCATTCTTCCATACTGGACTTTTCACATGTTTTTACATTACAACCAAAAGTATATTTCATGGCATTTTTTATTTATTATATTATTATTATAGTTATTGTAAATTTCAGCTTAGCTGTGACAAATTTCAGATGGCAGCGTGTTTCGCTGAGATACGCTGAAGCGCCAAATAATAGTCAACACCAACAAAAGATCATCGGGTCATTACAATAAATTGAACTATCCTTGTGCAAAGAACAGCCATTGAAGTATTAAGGGGAGAAATTTACAAAACTGTTATTACACTTTTGTCACCTCTCTTACAGTTGTAGCCATTCAAAATTTCCCCACTTTCCTTGATGGGCCTTTGGTTGGTCTTTGGCTGGTCCCCTACAATTCCTTTTTAAACATCAATATTTGCACTAAATTATCTGTCATGATTTATGTTAATTAACATTTAAAGATAAGCTTTATCTCCTGGTTAGACCCTGCAATTCAGTGAAAGTGTGGAATCTGAGTAAAAAAAATTATGCAACAGGGAGTCACTTCAGTGGCTGGAAGTTGGAGGGGATTTTGCTGGGAGTTGCATGGAAGTGGGCTGCCATTAGGCTGGCGTTTGACTAGTACGGGCCATTTCGAATGGCTGCCTCTGTTTAAAAAGATTTATTTTTAAAGGGATGACTGTTGACTTGATTTCCCTTGAAGCCACATGCATTCAAAGCAGTTTTCCTTTCCTGCTTTGTTCTGTTCCGTTACTCAAACTTTAATTCCAGTGTTCATTAGCAGGAAAAGATCATCTGTAAAAAACAGGCAAAGGATGACTTTTCTAATTGAAAATTCATTTTTGCAGAATACTTGGAAGCAAACTATGACTCCTCTGGACTGAGTGTTTCTCCCTTAATAATTCATGGTCACCAATTAAATATTTAAGTCTGGCAGACAAAAAACTAAACAAAACAGAAAAGGCATAAGATTTCAAAGTTGCTTGTAAATATGGGGAGTGGAAGAAGCGAATAATATGATCTTAATATATCAAAGATAAGGAAACATTTACACTGACAGAAAGCTGTGAGCACAGCAGAAATGCATAGTAGCACAAAACTTAGACTGAGGAAAAGAGACCTAGTCCATCATCTGCATCAAGTCAACTTAAACATGGAGTAAAAAAAGGGCCTGCCACAGCATTTATACAAAGGTTCATTGTATTTGCTTTCTCCAAGCCAGTACCTACGTGAGGAAAAAAAAAGAAAAGCTTGATTAAAAAATAAAAATAACAAAAATAAAAAAACAAAAAAGGCAGAGGGGTGAGCGCAGACTCTATACTTCAATCCCATAGAGCAGGTTGGGGATGAACTGGACTGAGAGCAAAACAACCTCCAAGAGCTGCACATTTACGGGGTTTTCTACACATTTGGGAAGAACCTGCTACAGAATATTTTATTTCTTTCAATTTGTAGAAAGAATGGCATGAGTATGTTCAGTTGCTTTATCTAAGTTTAAACAAAATGTTTGTCTTTAATTTGATTCTATGATTCCTCAACTCCAGCTCCTTATCTGGAAAAACTAGAAATATTAGGTTGTTCTAAAAACCTTTAACCTGCAGTATTTTTTCAGTTTTTCTGTTTTTTATCATGTCCTTCTGAAAACATTTATGGCACATGGATAAAAATCAGCAGAAAAACAATTTTATATATATATGACTAATAAATCCGTTCTACAACGTTCTATCATCTTAAACTGTTCAGAAAAAGTTGTGTTCACACAGCAACAATGAAGATGCTGCAGGTCAAATTTTTGGTTCATGGGTGGCGCCCTGACACTGCCACAGAATATCACACACAAACCACCAAAAACACTGGGTATGTGATTTGTAACAGCAAAAACAGTGGGGCACATGCAGGTTACAAAGGCAGTTTGACCAACAGCATCTTCGTAAAAAAAGATGTTGCCCACACGGTTACACTAAAATATTAGACCAGCATTCTGAGTTTTCAACACTGGGACTGATTATTTACACTCTTCCAAAACACTGGAAGCATTTGGATACAAACAAAAAGGTTTAGGTTACACCTAATCTGATCTCTGTGGTGATGGGGCCTTAGATATGATCAACACTTCTAGTCGCCAGCAGATTTGACTGGTCATCCATTTTAAAGCCAACTTAGTGGATGCAAAGCAGATATTAGGACAGTAATTCCTTTCCTTGCCTAAACTGCATAGCTCTAGCTGTCCTAAACTTTCAGACCACTACAAGGTGTTATCTGTTGGAAAAATAAAGAAGGATCTCTACAGCAAAGATTAAACTTATCTTGTGCAGTGTTGTGTTGCGGTTACCTGCTCCACAGAGTCCAGAAGGGCGTCTTCCTGTGTGCATCCAGTCTCTCTTCATCCTTTGAACCAGCCGCAGAGCCGTCATGGAGACCTCTCGACTCTTCTCACCAAATTCCAGCATTTGGGTGAAACGGGGAATATACAGACATGGGTCTGTAAAGAAGAAAAATTTAAATGTCCATAAGAGACATAGAGGCAACTATTACAACTTGAGACTCGCTTGTTTTGATTACTATCTCCAGGTCACATTTATAGGTTTAGGACCATCAAAGCACGACTCACATCTAGATTGACCTTTTTGCTAATAAGTTGTTCCTGATTATGTAGGAGTGGGAGGAGATTATGTGTTAACCATGTAGAGGTTGTAAATCTGTGATATGACAAGTGTGGGGCACTCAAATTACAATGTTTATGATCAATCATGAAAAAAAACTAAAACCAGAGCAAGTAAGTTAACAACTTGAGTTTGATACATCTGCCTATTAGGGCATTTATTTTTTGTCCCTTAAGGTTCATGGCAAGAAAAAAATGACAATTTACTTTAAAAATCTAGATATTACATCAACCACCCCCTCTTAATGACCTTAATTTAAAGTGCAACAAAATCCAAGTTATGAAAGATTAATGCAAAGCTATAAACAAGTAAAATATAACCGAGTAGCCATTTAAGAACATAAATTAATGAACTGATTTCACTGTTAGCTTTAGAACCCCCGAGTACCATCATAAAAGTTTTAAATAATCAAGATTTTCCATAACTTGAATGTTCGATAATAATTCAATTAATAGCATTGATTTATTTGCAAAAATATTTTTTTGTTATTTCATTGCATATCTGAAATTAATTAATAACCTGTATTTTTAAACATCACATAGTACAGATTTTAGGGTGAAGGGGGATAATTTACATTTTAAAAAGTATTACCAGTGCATTTCATTCATGTAACCTTTAGCACAACTTAGTCAGCTGAAATCACAGCCAACACAATTTTACAACAACAAAATTGTAGCAAGTGACTTTGGAGAATCGCTAGCCACATCAGCTGGTGAGTTCATGTTAATGGGTATTAGGAAACACCAGAGCAGGCAGCACCCTCTGTCTGGGGAAAAAGTAGAAAAGTAGGAACATGCCAACAAAAACTTATAAAGCAGCATTTGAGACTGGCACTAGCAGATATGTGCAGCTGCACAAATCTTTAAATGAGTGAGTGAGTGAGTGAGTGAGTGAGTGAGTGAGTGAGTGAGTGAGTGAGTGAGTGAGTGAGTGAGTGAGTGAGTGAGTGAGTGAGTGAGT